TGATAGAAACCGGAATAAACCAACAATTCCATTTCAACAAAAGCTGAGTGGACAAAAACGATAAACAAATTGTGCATTATGTCCAATTTATATACTAGCAAATGGAAGTGAAACGTGAAGATGTGAACGTATGAAATAAATATACTTTCACATTATATCTCATTTTAGCAATTTTGTTTTTGCTCTAATTTGTCAATGTACTGTTAATAAAAGACAATAAGTCTAAATATTAATTTCCTATAACTCGGATTAATCTCTAACAATTTCTTTTAAAATGCAATTCCATAATATATAAATATTGAGGGACAATATTCTTAATATTAACTGGTCATACATAACTCGTGTTTATCTTTACCAATTTTTTAAAAAAAAAATGCAATTCCATACTATAAATATTAAAGAATAATATTCTAAATATTAAATGCCTATGTCTCGCACTATTTTCTTTACATTTTTTGTTGGCTGTGTGAGTTTCTCAATAAAATATTTGCGAAGATATGTGTGAGTAAGCGAAATGTATCTTTTTCCATTAGAAGTATAGACGTAAATTACTACCGAGACAATCAAATTTGAAGTCGGTGAAAAAAAATTACACAAAGATTTTAGATGTCTGTCATAATCAATAAAAAGGAAGCAAAGCGAAACGGGGATATTAAATACTTCCATTATCCAATTACAATACTCTTGTCAAACGTCATGGTGGTTTGATTCATCAAATCAGTCTAAACCACCACCATTACATATCAAACTGGATACGCACAAATGACTTTGAAATAAGTTAATACACACAGAAATAAAGATGGTTGATGAATAAAAACTCCTGTGACTACATCAGTCACATGGCTAAAGTCAACAATTTCCGCTATAACAATGGTGATAGGCATCTTAAAACCACAGGATTTAACCTCACAAAACAACAACATCTATCAACTGGATTCTCGTCATGTTCTAGATTTCGATCTTAAACCGATGACGACATTGTTCTCTTGACAGAAAGCGAGTTCTTTAATCTCGAAAATAAGTTTTGTGTACACACTAAATGACAATATTATCACCCCATGCAATTTGAATGTAGCAAAAAATCATTCTATTCCAATGTTAACAACTCTTTGTTCATGTTTTCTGTTATTCGTGCAATATGGAACATCAGATGATTGATATCACCGACGTTTATCTTTTTTTTCTATTTTGGAACCAAAAAATATATTTGAATTGAAGTTAATGAGTGTGCGGCAGAAATAATTACGCCTCATTTGATGCTATTTATTAAGTGGACAATATGCTTTTATGACAATGAAAGGTGGGGGGACTATAAGGACCGGAATAGGATGTTTCATGTCAGGTGAGATAATTGTCTGACTTTCATAGGATGTTCAGAGGTTTTGACTTTATATGACCTCATTCTGGTATGGTAATAGTTGATCGATAAGCATGTAAAATAACATGATACCGAAATTAAGACCCCGATTTCTCGATTTCTGAAATAGAAACAAAAAATTTGAAATGTCTAGTGGGAACCTACAATTTATATACACCGTTATTAAAACTTACATTGATCTTTCAACATTTCTTTTGAGCAAGATGTCCACCGTTTGTTAAAGTTATTTACGGGATAAAGTATATTCGTTACAGAATTGCATTTCATAGTAAAAACATGAACATTACCGAACTACTCTTTACCAAATGACAGATTAATCCAAAGCAGGTTATAATCTGAATATTCTATTTTTTTTCAGTGTGTTACAGAGAAGTCTTCCACAACCAACGGCATATTATAAGACGTAAATTTAATCTTGGAAAATGCAAATTGAAATCCCCCATTTTCATCCTATGTATGACTACAGAACACAATTTTAGATAAGCGTAGAGAACCCTGTGGGAAATAATATTTATTTCAATTTTTGTGATTGAATATGTTGCCTGTAGAGCAGAAGGTTAATCACCAATTTGGCAATGATGCCAGGGTGTCAATACTTGTCAGCATTACCAATAACATATAATACTATATTAATACGTCCATAATCACAGACTGGCTATTCAATATGCCTTTATCAACGTTGGAATAATGCAATAGTTGCTATTCATTAGAGATTGATCATGCCCAATCACCGGGCATTCATACAGTAAGAATTGTATTGAGATAGTATTAATGATGTTGGTGGTTGTCAGGAACAGATAAAGAGAAACCAGATGTATGATGATCTATGGAACTATTCAATATGATTTCTAAACGAGGCCAGATATAGGTTTATAAGATCGTTATTCAACTAATCTCGTCAAGGCTGCATGTAAAGCTTTCTATTACAGGGCTCCGGTGATATTTTCGGTCCATAATCTAAATAATGATTCTTCACGCGAAATCTAGAAGTTGAATTCTAATTTTATAAGTTGTAATTTCAACCACTGGAAACATAGAGAACGTTGTCAGGTTTTGCTTTATTCATTTTCCCGAAAACACAAAAAACAGTAACCATACTGTTTTCAATTCTTGACTTTTATATGATACTAGCAGGATACCCGGCTTCGCTCGGGGGTCATAACTCCGAAACCGGAAGTGGTAGACTAACGCCACCGGGTCTATGTTACTCCCCGGTCCGAGCTACCCCTATATCCCAAATTTCAGACTTGGGGCAGACCTAGTGTAGCATGCCAACCCCGAACAGACCGGCTTCGCTCGGGGGTCATAACTCCGAAACCGGAAGTGGTAGACTAACGCCACCTGGCCTATGTTACTCCCCGGTCCGAGCTACCCCTATACCCCAAATTTCAGACTCGGGGCAGACCTAGTGTAGCCGCCAACCCCGAACAGACAGACTTCGCTCGGGGGTAATAACTCCAAAACCGGAAGTGGTAGACTAACGCCACCTGGCCTATGTTACTCCCCGGTCCGAGTTACACCTATACCCCAACTTTCAGACTCGGGGCAGACCTAGTGTAGCCGCCAACCCCGAACAGACAGACAGACAGAGACAGACAGACAAACGACAGTCACAAATATATATATAGAAGATAGCACTTCAGTTCAAATATATCGTACGACCAATTAATAAAGCTTTTAACTTTAAAGTAGCCAAGTCTCTTAACTCAATATCATCCGTCTTCGACAATTAAAGCACGAATTATTTGTCAATTTCAATCAACATTGATGTTGTAATCTTACCGGGAAAAGGTTGGCTTTTGATGTCCAATATTTAAAACAAAATAAACATACACCATATGTACACGAATCGTGTACCATAATGCGTTTCAGCACCATTTGTAACAAGGGATTCGGAGAACGAGGCTAGACAAATTCCACAATTCATGTCAAACGGTGATGCCATACTCTTATCTGGAGGGCATGCACAATAAATACTATCGGTGTAGACTGGAATAACCAGAAGCTAGAGATTGTCATTCGATTGAGACGTCTGGCGTATTTCGCCGAACATAACTGGTCTGAAATTAGAGTAAAACAGAAACGATTGAATGTAAATCAGTTTATATACATTCATATTGCATTATTATATGCGTTGCGACCCATTTGTGTAAATTTCTAGGTCCCAAATATCAGCGATTTAGCTCATTTGAAGTCAAATCCATTCGGGGGTTAATTTTTCTGTGGTCTCTCCTGTATTACTCAAACTTGTTTGCAGCCCCAAAACGTTAAGGGAATGATAATAGCAAAATGCAGAAAATTGTTTATGCTAATCAGTCCCATATCCCCGAGAGGGCCCGCCAAACTATATTTACAAAGAACTGGTTGACATAGATAATAAAACAAAAGTACAACACAAATTTGCTAGCTATATGCACTCCTCAAATGAATATTAAATATTATGGAAGTTAGTTTTGTATAATTTCATTCTCTCAGATTGGAGGAACGTTCCATGCACGATATCTGGAATTGTTTTAACAATTATCGATGCCAACAGAAAGCATTCGAAATAAAATGTTAGTTTCTTTATGGGAGCATTCAAAGTAGAGCAAATAAATCATAAATTGCACTACGCGCAAAACAAAACGGACAAGATAAGAAAGCTTGAGCAAGCTGATGAGTTTTAAGCCAGGATTTCGGTATCATACATACACGGCCTACAAGCGTTGGGTGATCGGTTTGCTCCATTAGAACAAATATTGCCCTTATTGGTTATGGCTGTGGCATAGTCGTGTGGATTGTTTTTGTAAGCCAGGTCCTATATCCCACATTACTTTGCCGCTAAGCGTTCAGTCTATTTCAGCTTCTGAAGAAAGCGCCATTAAAAGGTGAAATAAATACAAACAAATACATGTTGTGTATTTCGACTTTTATACCTCACTTTGAAAGTCTGATGCCGAAGTCTTGGCCTCTGCCCAAGACACGCCAATCCCCATCGATCTCCTTACCACGCTGCATTATGCGGGGAGGTCAAAATAGAATAAAATTGGCGTGATGGTGCCGTGGAAGATTAGAACCGTCCTGGACGCCCATATATTTGTCCTTGTAGTTCCGCCGTCATCGGACGCCGGATATAAAATCGCCGCGTCATATAATGCAAGCCGAAATATCCGGTCTATGCTAAAACATCACCTCAGATTACAAGGACCTATTTGTTTTGAGTTTTACAAGAATCAGCATCACCCGCATAGCCCTAAAAACCTTTTACGACGTTCAATATTGGGACTGACTTAACGGACCAGTTCACCATCTTCACGCAACCCAGGCGTTTCCAGATCTCGGTTACATTCAACACTGACTTGACAAAAACTTAAAGTCTCAATTACACAATAATTGTGATGAAATAAAACCTCGTTGAGTTTAGGTAGTATTTTGAGTAGCCTATACGAGTGCAACATCTCTAATACCTGAAACCGACTCAAACCAATACTTCAATCACATAATACAAAATCAAAATCATCATGTTTTGATTGTTTTGATGGAGGGGGGGGGGGCGCTAAATACTGCACACCGTTCATTTCGAACCCTACTATATGAAGATATCAGTTCATGGGAGATAACTCTATGTTCATTCATTGTGACTATTTTTATACAAGGATTGTATGATATATTGCGTATTTACCTTTAGATAAGTGGGGGACAACACTAGTCTAATCTTGATATTTTGTCATATAAGCATTGTTTTGTAACTATGTAGACGTCGCGTGCGTACTACTCACCTTAGAAATATCTCAAAGGGATCTGGCCGAAAGAACTATATTCATTAGTCCTAGGACGATCTGAATTAACTATGGATAGGTATGTTTTATGATTATTATTGGTACATGTCACATTGTATTTCAAGGCGGATGAGCAGACTAATTAAAGTAACGCATGATCTACACTATAATGACTACTTGGTAAACTTAAAATGGCTCCTCTTAATGAGTGTACTTTGGACTAACATGCACTGTTTTAATCTGCTCCACATGTTAAGGAAGTCATACGGATTAAAATCAACATCCATCAACACAATAACGCGATTCATGCTCTATTTCTTGCAGATAAATATAAACAGGCCATTCTGGGCGGGGTTGTTATTACCTTGAACATAAGGGTCGTATACTTAAAAATAACACATAAAGGGTAAAAGAATATCAATATAGTACATACATATTAATATGATGATAACAATTTTGTTGTAAACCTTTTAAATTATATATAAAGGGAGATAACTTCGGTTATTTTATTTGGTTTCAGACTAGCAATTATTTGCCCATTGACTTCTATGTTAAATGGCTGTAACATCACAAGCTGTAACTTTTTGCTCAACATTCCGTTGGTTCCAATCTTTATAGGCACAATGGGGACCACATATGGCAATCTCCTTATCAGAATTTTGTAGGGGTTTGACCGTTTAGATTTTTTGCTACGGGAATTTGATGGTGACTGGGGTGAAAATCTCGCCTCCGCTGTAAAATCATCTGTATTACCCAAAACTGCCATGAAATTGCAAATTTGACCCCTTTTCTCCAATTCTAGACCAAAAAGTCAACCCACAAATGCAGGAAGAGGGGAGAAAAAAATTAAGGGGGAAATTGTCTATTTAATTTTATAAGTCGCACTACATGAAATAAGGGAAAATAATTACTAATCCATTTGGAGGCAGACCACCATTAATTTGCCCATTGACTTCAATGTTAATTCTGGCCTCTTTGCCTACCTCCAACTTTTCCCCAAATTTTCGTTGGGCTGTATGCTTTTCACTACAGACAGAGGAACAAATGATCATGTCTTTGCACTAAAATCTTTATGCGGTTGACCAACACAATTTTGAGATATGCAAACTTGAAGAAGCATACTAACAACATGTAACTAGTTGCCGTACATATCACCGTAGCCAACCTGATAACCCCGTTATCCTTCCGCCTCAAAATCATGAATATTTACCAAAACCTGGCAGAAAATGTAAATTCAAACCCTCTTCGTCCATTCTAGACCAAAAAATAAACAAAAATGGGCATGCAAAAGGGGAGAAAATAGACAGAGAGAGAATTGCTATAAATAGACGAACTATGTACCGAGATGGTGAAATTTAATGGTGGTCTGCCTCCATTTAATGTCCTGTTATCAGTATCAGGAATCATGAAATAAGGGGAAATAATTACTAGTCTTAGACCATTTAATGTCCTGTTATCAGGAATTTACGTGCAAAGTCTATGTCACATAAAAGTGTTACATCTTTTTTGTTCTTCGGGTGGGGGTTGCAACGCTCATCTAAAAATGGGGCCACCCCACCGTCCATGTACGCGTTTCCATTGCATTAATTTCTTATTTCCAAATTTCAAATGCCGAAAAATATTTTTTGTATTTCCATGTGTACTGAGAAAAGCGCTGAAAATTTTGGGGAATCCAACTTAAATGACGTATAAGTGAGGATTCCTCTTGACACGGGCGGATTAAGGGATTGGCCGCCGGAGATGGCTCGTTAGAAAGGGGCCTAGCGACGGATGGTGCGTGGGAACTCCCCCAGAAAATTTTAAAAATTACATCGAGGTAGATGAGATTTAAAGCACTTTTCTGTTGGAAAATTTGCCCGGACTGCATCGTTTCAGACTATTCTTCTTCGAGATCTCGTGTTCGATCCTGGTGCTGACCTAGAAAGATGCTCGGATTTTCCGGTGTGGTTTCCCATTGTCAGTGGTACATGACGGGGGCCTGACAAGGAACAACGTCGAGTCATTCAGATGGGACGAAAAACTGTATGGAGTAGGCCCGTCTTCATTACCCGGTTGGTCCAGAAAATTTGGACGTTCATTTACATTCGCCACGACAAAAACAACCTAAAGCATCTGAAATACATGGGGTGAAATACATAATAATAATATAGGAAACATATTCATACCAAAGAGTTACTTTGGCAAGGTTTTACTTTAATCATCATGGTTACCGAGCAATAGGTATTTTTGTGCGCAAAAAAGGATTTTAGATAGAGATGTAGGATTCTAAATTGTACGGTTGTAAATGATGAATTAAGGTAGTTTTAGGAGAAATTTGTTTGGAGATTCGTGTGCCTTTCGACTGGACACAGACATGGTGGGGTTGGGGGTTATACTGGAGTCGAATGGCCCCTTTTCTCCGATTCGGGGCCCTTTTCTTGGACCCACGGGCCCCTTCAGAGGACTCAGGGGCCCTCTTTCAGGGGGCCATGTCAAATTTTCTCCCCGGATTCGGCGTTTCCATTTTTGAGATTTCCCAAAATATTTCGGCTCGGAGGCTGCTGCATCTGCTATAATCGGCTTCTGTCTTGACAGCATGTATACGGGCATTGTTGTCGTTTAATTGCCGCCTTTTTGAAATAACATTAACACACACCATTACCACTTTGAACATGCTGTTACAGGAGTTGTTGGTTGACTTGGTAAAATTTGATCATGAACAGCCAATTATGTATGCATGCATGCACATTGTAGACGCGAGAGAAAAAAAAAACGCTAAATGGAAAAAGACCCGTTTACATTTGCATTAGACCGTCTTTTTCGATGGCGGAAACGCGTACACGGAAAGTGCGGCTAAGGCTGAACATAAAACTTGCGCGTCGATTGGCGGAGTTCTTTATATGGCGTCAGAATTCAAAGAAGGCAGCGATGACGTCATGAATTGAAATGAAATGGGGTTTAACTTCTTACTTTTCTACACCGACTGCAGCTAATGAAGATGGGCGATGACGTCATGCTTGGTTCCTAGTAATAATATGCTCGTATTGTTATTTTATCATTTCAGACAACTACTATCGAGACTTAAAGATGTTCAGCTTATACCCTTTTACATTACAACTACATTATTTTTCATCGTGTGCAAGCCCCATCTTGATTATCCACCGGAGACCTTTTTAACAGCCGCATTGAAAATACTACCTATTATATCCCTAGCTGGATATTTAATCTTCAACTTTAATGATGCTACAAAATCACAAGGAATTTATACCAATATGATAACATGCGGGCTTTTGGTATCAGTTCTTGGGGACATTTGCATCGTATGGAGAGAAGTACTGTTCCTTCCAGGCGTATATTTCTTTGGGGTGGCTCACATGTTTTATTCACTGGGATTGCTGACAACCTACGGTAAAAGTAAAAATAAAGCCTTATTTGCATACCTGGCAATAGCATCGTTTCTCTGTATCGCTGGCGGTATTAATTCATGGTTCAAGATTGGCGTTTTATTCACTTATAATTGCCTTGTAACAAACGTGGGTTTTCTTGGAGTTGCTAGGTATGAACAAGAACAATCTCTGTCCGCAAAGCTTGCCGCTTATGGGGGCGTGCTTTTTATGATCTCCGATTTCATCATTGCTGTGGATAGATGGAAGTTTGGTATTTTGGGATCAGAGTTTCTGGTTATGATCGCCTACTACGGAGCACAGGCATGTCTTGCTTTAAGCACCCTGAAAGAACATTAAATACCAATTTTAAGGCACTACAAATACATTTTAAACATGATAAAAATAATAATAATAATTATATCATTTTTGATTTCCAGTTTTAAATACATTCCACGTTTTCATTTACGTTATGTCATTTGTATTATGTCATAAAATGTTGCAAAGTTAAATTTTGTTTAAGACATTCGATAAACCTAAGTCTTTGAAATCTCTTCAGTTGTATTTTTAATCATTTCAGTATTTGTTTTGTTTTTTCTTGCAAAATGTATCAATGCTTGAATACTATATACGCTGTATCATAAGGTCTGACAAGACGTAGGTCTCCTTTCCAACCTTGTGGGTTTTCTCCGGGTCCTCCGATTTCCTCCCGCTGCTAAAGACCCCTACGCACAAACGAATTATTGAAATAAAATTGAACCATGTTAGTCCCGAAATGACCTAGTTTGTGTCGAGTGGACGTTAAACCCCATTTCTCTCTCCCTCTCTTAAATGTATACTAAATATGCATTTGTTTAAAGGACCCATGTTGTGATATTTTGGAGAGGAAACACAAGTTGTAAAGTTGACCATCTTTGTTGTGATTCAAGTTATCCGTTAGTCAAATTTTGAACTACCCGTAGATACAAAGAATCTCAATTATAGCTCTTTATCAGTCCGATTAAAATCGTTTGTAAATGTCTGCATTCCATCGTTAATTAGATTGAGTGGAATATTCGCAACAAAAGAAACGTCAGTTTGGTATGTTACTTTGAATAGATGCATAAAACTTGCCAAATGTTTTTCTTGTATATTTGTGAACACATCTCCTTCCCAAACACAGAATTGAACCCAGGATGTTCTCAAAAACGCAACCTTACCGTAGACCTTACCGTGGACCGATCCTCACCTCTCGCCTGCGACGTGAACGTCTACAGTTTGCCCAACAACACCAGAACTGGCGACACAGGCAATGGAGAACTGTTCTGTTAACAGATAAGAGTCGGTATTGCGTATCAACTGCAGATGGCAGGACCAGAATATGGCGTCGACGTGGCCAGCGTTATTCTGACCAATGTGTCATGGAAGTCCAAGCATAATGGTTAGGGGTGGAATCGGCCTGAACCAGAGAGTGGGTCCTGTGGTGTTCCAAAATCTTGGTCTAGGGTGAGGAGGCGGCATCACAGCAGTGCGCTATATCGATCAAGCTCTCAGGCCCCATGTCATACCACATTTCTCACGTCATCGAAACAACGTTTTCCAGCATGACAACGCCCGTGCCCACACAGCCAGAGTTACTCGGGACTGTCTACAGCAGAACGGTGTCAACATTATGCACTGGCCAGCCCTTAGTCCGGACTTAAACCCGATTGAACATCTTTGGGATGAAATTCAGAGGAGACTTAATAACGTCGTACCGAGACCAAACACAGCCGATGAATTGCGCCAGGCTTTTCTGAGAGTGTGGTTCCACTTCCAGGTGCCAATGGCGTTCATAAATCGTCTGGTCCACTCCATGTACAGACGCCGCGTTGCTGTTATTGACACTCGCGGTGGACACACCAGATACTCATGTATAGACTGTGTACAGACTCTAAACCTTCCCGTAATGTCTTTGAATTGTGACGAATTAATCACTAATGTGTCAACATACTGTTCACAAAAAATTGCTTTGATTCATTTAGTTAGTCGTTTTCTAGAATGATTTGATTAAAGTGCCTCTCTGATTTTGAAATAGTACTGACGTTTATTTTGCTGTTTAGTATATATATATATATATATATATATATATATATATATATATATATATATATATATATATATGTTATATCCACTCAAAATTAATTACTAATTTGACAACCTGGCAGGATTTAAATACCTTTAAATTAGTATTACCATTTGTTTGACAGTCGCCATGGTATAAAATAGACGCAACAATCGCTGTAGAAGCGAAAGAGATCAAATGGAACGGGCCACAGAGTAGTGTACAATCAGAAAATAAAAACGGGATAAAATTTAAATACTTGTTTGCATATCAATGTAGTGGTTTTGTTCCATTTTTAATTCCTTCCTTCTTTGTCTAGGACGGGTGAATTTATATTTCCTGGGATTTTTAGTATTGTCGAAAAGGATAATGTAACAAGGATTTACAAACTTAAATCCCCTTGTCAAATTAGCGATATAAAGGTACGTGAATATTGTTCTGGTTCGCAGTGGCGAAGGTCATTGATAAGTAACCATATCACATGTGATGCAAACAATGTACCCCTAACACAGTTTGGAGCGTTGTGACAGCTGATTGAAGTGTCGTTTAAATGGGTTATTGGTGGTCTGCTTCCAGTTTTTCAAATTGAGTATTATCTCCCTTTAATTGTGTTTGACTATTCGATGTCTCTAAAAGACAATTAATTGGTGCCAGTCATTATCAAATATGTGATAGAACTGGTTAAACACGTTCCAAATATAATTCTAACACAGAGATCATTGCTACGATAGATGCGTTATGAGAATTTCAAGAAAGGGAAGTGACGAACTCAAAAGGAAAACACGAGTATAGAATGAATAAAAACAAGTGAATGTACGGACTATTTCTATTTTCCTCGTTTTCCCTTATCTAGTGACATTCAACTACTTTGTTAAAATTATCTTTGGAACGTGTTTAACCAGTTCTATCACGTATATGAGATAATGACCGACACCAATAGTGTCCTTTAAAGTAGTATCATTCAGCAAAAGGCAAGTGGTACTTAAATACACCAAATTTTACAAAACATTTCGGGAAATATTTCTTAAGTTTTACCTTGTACACATGAACAGTGAGCAATGCCAGTAGCGTTTTGTGATGAATAATAATGTGTATCATAAGTTGTTGACATTTTTCTTGTTTCCAAAACAATTCTTGACAAAAGGAGTAGATCAATAACACCAACTAAATTTGGAAGACCAAACAGCTTTTAATTCAGTTTTCTTAGTTCTTAATTCATAATCCCTAATTCTTAATTCTTCATTTGCTGTCGTATTTCGACATTTGTACGCTAAAATTAACATTTGTATCTTAAAATCAATATTTGTTTTACAAATCAGACATTTGTAATATCAGATTTGTAAAATGTATTTTTGTTTAATTTAATTGTATTTTAATATAAAGATAAAATTTATTTTAGAAAATCAAAACATTAGCCTACATTTACATTTCATCAGAGAAATACAACGAAAAACAAATCTCGAACACCAAATTTCCAAATACAAATCTCCAAATACAAGTCTTGCAAAACATTTCTCCAAAAACATTTCTCCAAAAACATTTCTCGAAATTCATCGAACCGGAACATTATGATGACATGAGCGGAAATCAACCTGGCATACAATAAGTCACCATACAATAATAATGGGGAATTGAGCAAGCAGATATACAATAGAAAAATCGCTCGATGACCGCGACTCTCGTGCGATAAAGAAAATAAATTGAAAGTAGTCTTTTTTCAGAAATTAGGTTTTATCTGATGGCGACATATTTCTTTGCTCAAACGAAAGAGTGTTTTATCTCTTCTAAATCATTTAGTCATGAATGTACCAGGGAATAAGTAATATATTGAAAGAGGGATAAAGAAATAAATACTTTCCGCTCATGCAATACCCGATAACCCGTATTTTGACTTTTAAATACTCCCACCCAACCCCACTAACTTAATAGTATTTAGCGTTATCCAACTGTAATACCCCTTTTTTCAAGTTATGTAAATTTAAATGTGCCAGAAGCCAATTTACATTTCTGTAAAAGTAAATGTAGGGTGACCCACCATAAATAAATATCTCCATATATCTCGACAATTACGCCACAATATTTATATATATGCCAAGCCTCAAATCAGTTTCACACAATTATAGTCACTAAATAAACGATCATGTTGTACTTAATAAGCTATGACCATTAATCATGTATAAATAATAGACTGAAAACTGGTTCCAAGCGTCGTCCATAACATCCAGACACTTTTGAGTAAAAGATAGGTTACGTGCCCTTGTTTTGAAATTAGTCTCGCTTAACCAGTCTATCGACCATTCTACATCTGATTGACAGGTCGGGATAATCAAGACTACTTTTTTACGAAACATAACAGAAAGCTAGAACAAGAAATTGAATTTAGAAATAAGCACGTTAGGTAGCTCAACAATCGTTTTAAGAAGCTTGTAAAAGTAAAATGAAACTACTGCTAGTATCATGTTCCTGTCTAACCCGAGTGATTCAGAGATATTATTTGTACTAAACCAAAAGATGCCGCTCTTAACGGTACAGTTAATGATAAAGCGATTTAAAAAATGAAACGAACGTAATTTCTAAATCTGCTGTAATAACCAAGAAGCTTAAGTTTACTGCTATTCAAAATCGTCAACAATAAATTTTTACAGCTGTAATAGTTGATAGATTTGTAGAGAATTGCACGTGCCATGGCTATTTATAGTATCATACTGTCAGAAAGTTGGTCTCGGCACGGCGAATGTGCACGCTTCAGTGGTAGTCTCGAACTATCAGCGGTGGACTGTATTTCTGTGAGTACATGGGTCACCCTAGTAAATGAAATTTCTTTTCAGTGGTATTCTGTGTGATATCTGGAATGTCGTAATATGGCCCATATTTTGACATTTAAGACCCCACCCACCCCACTCCCCATCATTTAATAGAGTTTAATACCGTACAACTTTTCAAGTTATTCTTTGGCATATTTATATTTATATACTTTGAAAAAAGATCAAAGTTTCACGGTACTAAACTTTATTAATGGGGGGGGGGGGGGTAAAGTAAAATAAAACGATCTAATAAGAAATTCTCGATATCTGTTCATATACTGCTGGAAAGTATGTTTATTGATTGCTACAAAATGTAAATTATATTCTGGCACAGTTATATTTACATACCTTGAAAAAAGAACAAATTTGAATGGTACTATCCTGTATTCAATGAGTTTTCGTGATGGGGGGGGGGGTATTTAACGTCAACTTACGGGCCATAACACCAAATACAAGATATCGGGATGCATACCGTTAAAAAGGTTCAGATACATTCTCAAAATTGTAAAAAAAATTTCCTTACAATTCATATTTACGTATCTTGTTAAAGCAGATACAATTTGGATCGTCTGGGGGCGTGCGGGGGGGGGATTTAAAAGTCAAAATACGCGTCTTAATACGAAATTTCAGTTAGCGTGTAATGCCTCCATCGCTCTTTCAATATACGAGTATTAGTTATTTTACTGGCACATTCATGATTACATGATTTAGAAGAGATAAAAGTCCATAGCGAGATTAACGTTGAAGTTTTAAAACTAAAACCCCAACAATTCTAGAAGTTTCAGTGTCGTGCCAGATCTAAAACCCCAGAAAGGGGATCGCCATCGGAACTTACAATTCCCGAAGAGCACTGTCAGAAGTGGACGATGAACGATTGACGAAAGAATAATTAGATGCACTGTTCAGTGTCTCTCTGACTGTAAAGTCACACTGGACGACATGACAGGAATATTCGTAAGTGTAGCCAATGTCATTTTCGGAGAGCACTGGCCGTGTTTTCCGAATCTGGACAGGCAAAATGACGAAGTTGCTGATAATGATGAGGGAGAAAAATCGAAGAGTGGCTAGAGATCTTAATTGTGTAGTTCCTGCTTACCTTGAAGATGCGTCCTATCTAAATTTGAAACTTTTGGCAGTG